CATATGCTTCTATACAGCCTTCAATCCCAAGTGATTATTGGTTCAAAAATTATTCTGTATTCTGTTCCACGAAGGTATATAACATCCATAATTAGAATAAAATTTGGACACGCCTGCTATCCTAGTCATCTGTCCAAACTAAAAATCGTAAATTCAAATTTATGTCCAGACTGTCAAAAAGAAGGTGATCTAAATCACATTTTCTTCTAATGTAAAAAATACAAAAAACAAACTGAAGATCTAATAAAAAATTTAGTTAACATCAAAATTTTTCCTCCGTACAATATGTGCTATCTGCTATCTCTAAATATAAGAGTTGTAAATGAATGTTTGGTGGAATTTATTTGCGAAAGTAAGCTCAATATTTAACTGTAATTCGAATCCTAACCTTTGTTTTACCCCATTTGTTTACCCCATTTGTAAGGATACTTAAATTTGAATTTTATATTATCTTTTTATATTGTACTACTCAATTTTTTTTCTGGATAGAATATTTTCATGTTGTGACTGGCTGTATGGCAGTTACCTATGCCAATAAAAAAAATCTACAGAGAGGTTAAGCAATTCATATGCCGATAACATATACATGTATTAACAAATGTAGCACTAATATTAATTTACAATCAAAAAACGAAAACTGCAATACTTGGGCCACATTACAAGAGGCGAAAGATATGAACTGCTTCGAATAATTATGCAAGGGAAAATAGCAGGAAAAAGGTCCATAGGAAGAAGACGAAACTCCTGGCTAAAGAATCTACGGGAATGGTATAGTTGTAGCAACAACGAATTGTTTCGGTCAGCAGTTTCGAAAATACGTATAGCCCTGATGATCGCCAACCTTCGGAACGAAGATGGCACTTGAAGAAGAAGAAGCACTAATATCTGTTCTGTTAACTTTAATAAATATTTTTATTTGACAAATTTTCAGGTTGATAACAACTCTCGAAACGTGTTGCCGATTGTCCTTTCTAGATTCTGTCATGCAATTATCTAAGACCCACTTCGATTCATTTCTAAAGTAAATCTAAAATGAAGCGAGGTGTAATTTTTAGGAACAATACGTACAAAATGAGTCCTTTCATACCGTCAAACACCTGCTCACGTGTTCAATTTTTATTTTCTTTCGCAATAGAAAGAGAGCAATGCAGAAAATCGTCTGATTTTGTTGAAATGAAAAGTTTTATTTTCGAAAATTAATCTTAGGGGAATTTCTCGCTGTTTTTAATTAAATTCTATAAAATGCTTTAAAAGAGGAACACACCTGCGAAGGTAATAAAACAAGTTCGATGGTAGTATATTATGCTGTAATGAAAGATCTGTATTATACACTTCTCTATTAATATTAATAATCATTTGTCATATGGGTATATTAAAACAATGCAAACAGAGAGATCTAAGGATATGATATTTAAAGCCTGGTCAAAAAGAACTTTATTTAGTTGAATATTATATTATAGACCGACATGGTTTTTGGTGTTTTGAGTTTGACATTGTGTCCTTAGCTAATACGGGTACGCTGATTCTAATTGTGAATTCGGTTTAAGCCCATGCCGTTAAAATTTATCACAAAATTAAAAAAACCTTGTAAGATATTACGTACTAGCGCAAACAAATACCTTATTATGAAATTATTTTACTACCAGAGGCGTAACAACACTTGAATAAATTTCTTACAGAAATTTACTATACCATCTCATTACCAAAATCCAACTCTAACAATTAAAATACCTTGGACATGCTATAAGACTCAGCAGTTAACAGACAATAGCAAACATGAAAAGACTTATTATCCAGAGAAAAGTAGTAGATCGAAGGTCACGAGGAAAATCTCCAACAAGATAAATCGACCAAATTAAAGGAATATAAAAAAGACCTATGCAGTTAAAAGAAGTGATCAGAGACAGAGATCATTAAATACAAACATTACACGATATCGCCTCCTCTTTGTTAAAAATTTCCTTTAGAATAGAGTTTTTACAGTTAGGACAAACAATACAACATCAGATATAATGTATCCCGAAAACGACATTCCTCAAGACTCGCTTATAAGCCAAGATACCTTCTTCTTAGTGGAAATCAATGATATTCCCAAAAATCTAAAATCGCCTATAAAGGTATGAGTCTATGTGGATCTTGTAATTTTTTGCAAAGTCAAAAATAAACAAAATACATTTTGTCGCACACAGAATGTTATACAACACTTAAAACTCTGGTCACAAAAAACAGGTTTTTGTTTTTCCAATAAAAAAACTCGTTTTACCCTGTTTTACCCAAGCGCTAGCCATTGCCTTTTAACCCAAAATGGCTGGTCAAGCTTCACGGAGCTATCGAGTACCAAACTCTTAAGACAGCGACGTACAAAAGAATATACGTCTGGAGGAAATCGTACGAAAAGTAGTTCGTAACACGATGCCGAAGAGACGAGAACCCAGATGTTAAAAGAAAAGTTCGTGTAACCTTCTAGCTAACGCCTAGTGTTAGGGTTTTCAGGTCGTGTAAGTGCCTCTAACATGACTTAACGACTGCTTTCGTAGCCGGGACCGACGACTTTACGTGCTTTCCAAAGCATGGTGACAGCTGAGTTAAATTAGAAATTGAAAATTTTTTCGGTACCAGGATTCGAACCCGAGCCTTCCAGCTTGTTAAGCCAGTAACATACCCACTGAGCTACGGTTGCCACTCACCAATATGTTGAAATGGTGCCAACGTTGGTCACATTCGCCCCAAATCGCAAGAAAATAATATAACAGTTAGGAAGCTAAAACAGATCGAACACAATGACCAATGGCAACCTCAACAACTACAAGACGCCCAAGCAGATGATCCATATATGAAGAGAGTACTAGATAGTACTCTTTTTATTAGTATTAGATAGTACTAATAGAACCTTTGAGAACAATGACGGTACAGAATCTAAGCTTCAGTTGATTGTACCGAAAAGTAAAGTGTCAGAAATATTGTGTCTGTTGCATGACGATGCATCAGGTGGACACTTTGGTATTACGAAAACTCCGCAAAAGGTGCCAGAACGATTCTATTGGGTGAACTGTAAAGATGATGCCGGAAATGTGAACTATGTGCAACCAGTAATGGTCCAGTTGGTAAAAACAGGGCACCCATGAAACAGTACAATATTGGTAGTCCTATGGAAAGAGTAGCAAAGAACATTGCAGGTCCAGATTCTGAGACAAATTTTTGCAAACAAATATATTCTGGTAGACATGGATTATTTAACAAAATGGACTAAGGTGGAATGGTCCAAAGGATAAACTAAACGATGTTATCACCTGTACAAAGTAGTTTCAAAACATCAGAGACATTGGGACCAGCACATTCATTTATTCCTAATGGCCTACCGCTCGGCCGTGAATGAAACTACAGGCCAGACTCCAACCTGCCTGATTTTACGTCGTGAAGTTCGTTTGCCCTGCGACCTACAGTTTGGCTGCAGACCTTCTGAAGAACATATTTCAAGTGAAGATTAAATCGACGGCCTGAAGTTAAGAATAAACAACATTCATGAACTTGCCCGACCACACATCCAGTTAGCCAGTGACAGAATGAAAGATCAATATGATTCTCGATGCAAGAATAAAAGCTATCAAGTAGGTGATCTTGTTTGGCTTTATAATTCACAACGTCATCGAGGCTTGTCTCCTAAACCGCAAAGACAGTGGGAAGGTCTGTATGAAATTAAAAAAAAAATAACGTGATATACCGAATTAAGAAGTTGCCGAAAGGTAAACCAAAAGTATGCAGTAGCCTAAAGTTGGATCAGTACTGAGATTAAAAGATAGTCCTCGATCGTTGCTGTATATGGTGACCAGGAAGTCGTATACAGACAAGGTAAGCTACGAGGATATAAGCTACGAGACGTGCTCTATTTAATTGAAGAAAATCGTATGTAATTATGACATCAAGAATTTAGCCTTACCTAATAAGGGCCATTTACTAGAAAATCTGTTTTGGAAGATTGTCAGAAGCATGCTTGAAGTGATCTTCCGAGAAACTGTCTAACGAACTAATGAGTGTTGCCTTAATCCGAAGAGATCGTGTCCTTCAAAGACAGTAGACTGTTATTTCTTTCTGAGGAGTTAATACGGAGCTAAAGAGTACTGTAGATTCTGCCATACTGGGCCTTCATGTAAAGTTGCTGATCGGGACGTTCAGATCTAAGAGGGGAGCAGTGTAAGTAAATAGCCCATATCCGGTATGTGGTACGTGTTACAGTTCTTAGAAGTATGGATCTAGGATATTCGATCGTTGGCATTCTCGACGTGCTTTCGACGGGAAGGTGGTGGAAGGGAAGTGAACTACTACAGAATATTCTAGTACATAATAACTTGTGTATATAAGCAGGCCTTTTATGAGCTAAAGTTTGGTTAATAAGATATAATCATATTATAAACATATAAATAAATATCTTAACATAGATGAGAACTGCTCGTTTTTTATGAACGGTACAATATACTAAATAGACTATGGCAACTGAAAATATTTCCAAAAATTGATTTGGAAAGAAAGAAAGAATTGAAATTTATTTTTTGTACTCCACCGTTTTGCAGATATATATATATATATATATATATATATATATATATATATATATATATATATATATATATATATATATATATATATACACGGATATATTGGGTTTAGTAGTCAATATATTGGCCTTTAAGTAAAACTCTTTTAGGTTTGCTAAGCTTTCGAGTTTATTTTACTCTTTTTCAAAACATACTAAAAATTAACATAAAAAATTTTACATTAGAAAAATGAAGTTCTTATGTCTTAAATATTCTTACCCTTGAAATTATTATTGACTACTAAACCCAATATATCCGTATATATTACTCACATAGTCACTAAAGCCCTTTCTAAGAATATATATATATATATATATATATATATATATATATATATATATATATACAAAAAAGTAGTTCCACATAATATACAGGTGATAAATAAAACCTGTCTTCTTTCTGTTACAGGTGTCTTTCTCATCTGTTGGCTTCCATTCTTCACATGCAACATTCTCAGCGCTATGTGCAGCAAGCTCAACTTGGACTGTCAGCCTGGCATGGCAGCTTTCCTTTTAACCACGTGGCTTGGGTATATGAATAGTTTCGTCAATCCCGTCATCTACACTATCTTCAATCCTGAGTTTAGGAAAGCTTTCAAAAAACTCATGTTCATGGGCGCTTAGACTGGTATCATGTTTTTAGTCTTTAAGAGGTTTTTTACTTAAACTGTTTTGTTTTTTTACTAGGCTTATGCCGACAATATTAAAAGAAAAGTGACTGTTTTGTATATATGTATCTAAACCAGTATGTAAAAAAGTGTTAATATTTTAGAAGTATTGAACTATTAGCTAGAATATTTAGATGTTTTCAATTTTTTATATAAGACTTATATTGAAAAATTCGACATTTTGGATTACTTGACTATTTGTATTTTAAATTAAGGATACTAAAACTTGTACACAAATTTGGTATTATCCAATAGAAACATATTTTTAAAAGACCAATTTCTATTTTGACTTAGACAATTTAGACAACATTAATGATCTTGCAAATCTTTTTTACATTGTATTAAAATATTTTTAAGAAGAATAATGTTAAATTAATTGCCTTGGCCTTTATGATGTTAATAAATTTCACAGCATCTGATAAACCGGAGGCCACATTTTCTTGTACGTTCTTAGCAGCTAATGTTTACTTCGGCATTTAGGAGTAACTTGCTTAATTTTTGCTACTATCTTTGTCAATTTTCGTGAGATAACTTTTACTACATCTGTGCCTAAACCAATACACGCTGATCAAGAAATGGCTATTTTAAAGACATACTTATCAACCATGGTAAAAATTATTTGTGGTTTAGTGTTTGATCCACGTAGTTTTCAGAACAAAACTCTTCTATAACTTCTTTATGATTTACTCATTTAAATTTTGCTTATAGTGGGTTGAAAGGGGCACTGAACAATTATTGGGCTTGGAGATGGGGTAAACAACTAAATTGAAATGTTTGCAAACGGTTACTCGTGTTTTGGTTGGAAAGCTAAGTCATGGATCTGGATTCCTTTATTTGGGGGAGCTGTGAGACACTAACAACTACAAAAAATAAATCAAAAAAATACTTACAGCGATGTCCTGAGCAACACTACATAAAAAGATTCCTAAACTATATAAAATAGGACGCCGCGCCGTTTAAGGGTGAATATCTTTTTAAAAGAAATAATAAACTCTTGGTTTAAAGAGAACCATAACATATTTATCCCACTTTCATCGATTTAAAATCTATGAAAGTGGGGACAAGAGGTTTGTTGTATTCTATAGATTTTTCAATAAGCGTATTTACTGTATGGAGGTGATCATTTGTACCGTAATTTGACTGGAATCCTGCCTGCTCTCTCGGTTGGTAGAAATCTAATTTTTTCTCCAATACTGATGTCACTAACCTAGTGAAGATTTTGTATATGTGGTTCAACAGGCTGATAGGTCTATAATTCTCTAGGCCCATTTTACCTCATTTTTTATTTAAAATTTTTCTTTGGGTACCTCCCTTTGCTGTAAGCATAGATGAAACAGTTTCCTTAATTATTGATTTAATAGCATATCTTTTTCATTTACGATAGCTTCTATTACAATTCCATCCTCTCCTAGGGCTTTGTTATTTTTCATTTTTCTTAGAGCTTGTTGAATCTCATTTTACTTTTATTTCTGGCATTAGTTTGGAACATTGATTTATGATCTTCTGTGAAATAATGTACGTATTCCTGTTTAATCTTCTCCTCTACTTCTATATAATTCCTCGTAGAGCTCTTCGACGACCTGTATTAACTCGCCTTTACGTTGGTATTATTTCATTTTGCTTGTTCCTTAATTTATAAATTTGGCATTTCCCATTTGTTTAGGGACTGTATAGTACGTTTAATATTATCAGTTTTAAATTTCCTAAATCTGCCCTGATTGCCTTCGAAACAGTTTTATCTATTTCTCTTACTTCCACTCTCTAGTTTTCCCTACTTTAGAATAATTCCTGTAAGTATATTAAAGCATTTATAATAGTCTAAGATATTATATAAGATCGATCTGTACTGATCTGTTTAATGAAGAAAAATTATTTGATATGTAATTTAGTATGTTAAATGTTATAAAAAACACAGTGTGTCCGTGTGTCCGATATAATTTGGTCCTGACTATAATTATTTCCGATATAATTTGGTCCTGACTATAATTTATAATTAAAAAAAAAACCTTTTTTGTATAAATTTAAATAAATTCGGTTAGGATAGGTATTATTTAAGATTTTGTAAATCATTTGAAGTAAAAAGGTCGTAAGTTTTATCGTTTTTGGTTTATAATCAATTTAAAACTTAAAAAAAGAACGAAAGAACAATTTTCAAGGCTTAAAAACGTATTTAAAAAATATTATTTTTGAAACGACGAAGTAATTAAATTCAATCAGTTTTTAATTTTAAAAGTATTTTGGACTTGCCAAAATGCACCCCGATCGCCCCTATCGATAAGGAACCTTTCGCATTATTAAGTACAACAATCAACATATTAGAAAAATTACAAAAAGCCTTTTATGTTTCAAATGATCCAAAAAATCCAAAATAAGATCTTTCCGGGTCGAATTTTTTTGCAAAGTTTGTCACTAATAAAACAAACTCATTTTTTAATTATTAATTAAATATGGTCAGGGCAAAAATACATTGGGCACCCCTTCTCTTTTATAATTTTTCTTCTTCTTATTCTTCTTGATCTTTTTTTATATAGACATGACTCTGCCTGTTATTCAATGTGCCTCCAGTGTGTTGTCATTCCATCGTTTTCGTGGTCTATTGGTTGTCATTCGGCTTATATGATCGTTCTATTATCATATTAAAGTTTCTACAATCGACAAAGTGCTAAGAGATGTAAATAATGATAATAACTTATCACATTTTAACCCTGGAATATCACACCTATTTTTTTTGACATACATCTCACATATGGGTATCAGATACCCATTGATTTTTGGTGAAGAAATAAATAAAAAAGTAAATATTTCATGATTTCCAGGGACTGTCTAGTCACTATTGAATACACAAAAATCATTAAATCAATCATTTTATTTTCTCTCTCTTAATTGTAGTAATACAAAAGAAAAAAATATTAAAAATGTTTAAAAATATTAAACAGACATTTTCTAAAAAACCAGAAACCTAATTTAAAATATTTTACCTTTATATAACAACAAAATGGTATTTCTAAATAAAATCTAACACCTTTTGATTATAAAACTCATAGTCATTCTTAGCCAGGTATTTCAATTTCACTCATTTTGGTGACTGCATTCACAACACAGTTTAGCTCTATGCTCCATGCAGTATGCTTTATGGCAAGCCGAGCATGCATGCTTCGTTTTTCTATCTTTTCCTTTGCAGAGATAACACCTAGTTTGCTTCACTAAACTTGTGGGATGTTGTGTTGGAATGTCTTCAACATGAAGAATGCCACAAATTGATTGCCTGAGTGATTTCGGTAAAGGAGGTATTTGAAGTCTCTCTCGCATTATATATATATATCCGGTTTTTTAGGCGTTACGCCCGTCCGGTAGAGATCTATGGAGGAGTATCACCGAGCCGCAAGCCCTTATCTCTTGCCGTACTGCTCCACCATAGGCCGATCAGATCCCAGCATATCCTAGTCTAAGCCGCAGATTCATTTAGAATTTTAAACTGCTGCGTTAGACTTTTTGTTTTTCTGTATACCGAGCTGGGGCTCGATCCCACATCCATTGAACCATTCGACAGTGAAGCGAATGAGAGGCAGCCGCACAGCCCGCTGAGCTATCTGACCGACTCTCTCGCATTAGTGGTCATTCCCAAAGACTTCAGAAAAGATTTTCTATTATTAGATGCAGTTTCTTTCCAATGGGTATTTGCGAGAGAAAATAGCACAATTGCATTTATGCCACTTGCATCAAGCATGTTAAAAAAAATTCTTTGTGGCCATCGTCTGCATTTTCGTGATGTAGTATAAGAATGACATAATTGATCGAACGTATCTGTACCTCCTTTTGAGTCATTATAGGTGTGTATAGGGTTTGGTTTTTCTGTATCAGCATTTAATGAATTATCATGATGTAATGTTGACAGCAAGATAACCACTCTTTTGGGATTTGGAGTGTATGAGATGATAGTTTTATTTTCGTCGAATGCAAATAATGATGTACCTACTTCTTTTTTACTGAGAAAAGACAGTGAAATTTCTCGTTTATTTTTTCTTAGTGTACCCAAGATAGTTAGTTTGAATTGTCTCATCATTTCATCAGCAAGAGGTATTGAAGTAAACCAATTATCTACTGTTATATTTCTGTTGGTTCCATGTATTGGTTCCGACAATTTCCAAACGTAAAAAGCTGGTACTGACTCCTTATCCTGTGTTTGGACTTTTCCAATATATTGAATAGCGTTAACCATATAAAATGTTTTAGTGTCATTCATCATCATTATCTTTATTCCATATTTGTCGGTCTTACTACTCATATAGATTTTAAATGGGCATTTCCCCCTGAATCCTACGAGCTGTTCATCGATAGTACAATGCTGAAAAGGGGTATAGTATGATGTACAGTTGCTTATAAAGATTTCCCATAATTCGCGTATGGGTGCAAATTTATCCGCTGCTTTTCTTGTTGCTTTTGTATTTTTATCATTAACCCTTAGGCATACAGCTAGAAATGCAAACCTCTGCTGCGACATCGTAGCACAAAATATTCCATTTCCAAATTGTAGGGACCAAAGTTCATCAACACTAGAGTTAGAAACACGTAATGCACCATATATGAACATCAACCCAATGAAGGCTTTAACTTCTATTTTATTTGTCAATTTGGTGTAACTTTGCGCTGTGATACTTTCACGTTTGCGAATGATTTCTTCATTTGTAAAAAGAACGATAATATTTAACATTTCTTGACTAAATAGTAAGTTCCAGGCTTCTTTAGGAGACTGAAGTATCCTGGCATTTCCTTTGCCGCCCGGTAAAGGTATAACAAGATTTGCGGCTGTTGTACGACCACGCCTTGAGGGCTGTTCTGTAGAGCAACGATGCCCGTTTCTTCCAAGTAAACTTGCAACATTTCTCACTGGTTCATGATCTGTTTTACTATCACTTTGTTTACTTTCATCAGTGTCGGTATTGGAGTTTTGTTCTT